AATAAGCATAAAATTTTGTGGAACAAAATATATAAATTTAATATAATATATAGGGTTATTCATGCCCTTCCACACGGAGTATTGTAGTTATTTTTAGAAAATATAAATTGATGTAATTATATAAGTTGTTAAAAGGCCTACTAGAGCTACAGTTTCAAGTTATTTTTAAAAGGTACAGAGTGTCCCAAATAAATAATAAAAATTAAAGTCATATTTTTTGAATTCAAACATCTTGTGTATTATTACATTTTTAGATTATACGATTAAAATAAAAGGTAAATTTCACTAAAGATTATCTCACTTAGCTTAAAAGGGTGTATTACAATTTGCTGGATACTTAAATTTTGCATCTATAATGACGAATGAAATGAGGCATTAAAATATTTTTTACTGAATATTCACAAAATTGTATATGTCGCTGTAAATGTCCGAAATTCGAGATGGTTAGCGTGGTTATTTGGGGGGTATTAATTCATTGGTAAATCCTAGGTTTAGCGCGCTTATCCTAGGTTTTACCGCATTTCGGACATTTACAGTAAAATATATATTTCAAAAAGGGTAAAATTTATGTGGGGTATACCTTAATCAAATTTATCTTTATTTCATTCGTAGAAACTAAAAATCTAATAGTATACAGGGTGTACCTTACTGATTGTATTATTGTGGCTCTAGTAGTGCTCCCCACTCACAAAATTTTTAATTATCCAATCATATCGCTACAATACTCCGTGTTTAATTGCTTGAATAACCCATTAGATATGAACGGAATTACTTAAAATAATAATAACAAAATACAAAATTAGTTTGGTTTGAAATTAGCATAAAAATGCATACAATTTTAAATAAAGTGTCATTACTACTTCAGACAAATTACACTGACGTCGCCTTGAAGAAAGAATCAATCATTTATACGCTCATCTCATGCAGAGTGGTATTTTACCAACTCTAAAAGCAAAAGTAAAAAAGCTAGTAAACATAGTATTCAATGGCGGCTCTCAAGGATGATGCTATGGCTTCAGGCTAGCACACACAGCAAGTTAAGGTAATAGTTACGACTAAGAAATAACACTATAATTTTTGAGAGGCGACTAGGATGGATATAAATAAGCGCACATAATATAACAACAAGAATATACAGCTAGGCTTTGTAATAATTATGATGTATTGAACATTAAACCTATCCATGCCTTGGTTGAATCTTGCCCTTTGGTCATGATAAAATATACGAAGTGGTCAATAGTTGGGGTTTCTATAAAACCCAATGAATACTGAATTAAACATGAGAAGATTTTGAGTTAATTAATTGTGACATCAGCTGATTTTATCAAGAATAAATCCATTTTGTCAGAAAAAAAGAATGATACGAAACATTCGCTAAAAAAATGACAGCAAAGAGTTGATGACGTCGAAAATGCCGAGCATATGCCCTTCAGAGCACCCTTAATTTCTTGAGGGAAAGATTGCAGTGGGGGATAGATTGTCTTGAATTGAGTTCGTGCACTCTGTGGGTAAGAAAACGGCACATAGCCAAAATCACAGCTGCCAAAAGAACGCGCATCTGCCAGTTCTGTCCAGATTTGCTTGCATTAATAAGGCTTATTAAAATGGGAAGAATTCCGAGACTTGTGAAAGTCGTTCAAGTCATATTTTGACAATAATAAATTAAAAAAGCCCAATACTTCTAATAGACAGAATCTCATAAAACAGTCGATTTAAGGCATCTAGTATCTTTTTCCTTTCCCTGATACACGAAATACTGAATGGTCAAACGGTGAGCTTCGACCCGCAAAACATAAATAGGGTATTTTCTCACATTTGTGCAAAAAAAATCCTTTTTCCCATGCACAGATTAAGGGACAGCTGACAAGATATTTTTTTTAGAAAATCACATGACCTACCGATGTGAAAATTTGCATATAAATATAAATGTAAAGCTTAAAGAGCATTAATTAAAATTGTTAAAATTTCTTGCAAAAAAATTGTAAAATGAAAAAAAATAATAAAATCAACTGGACAGATGATTTGATCTTCCAATTTTTTGGAAGCTTTAAACAATAATAATGTTATAAAAAGCTTATTAAACAATAATTCATACGATAGATAACAGTTAACATACTTATATATTGGTTTAAACTTTTGTTTAAAGTGTAATCAAAATATCATAACAGAAGAATGATTAAAAAATCGAACTAGCAACAAATGGTAACAACTAAATAAACTGAATAGTTAAAATATAAACGTATTTTTTAAGTTAAATTCTAGTTTTTAAAAAATAACTCGATTGAAAGGTGATATAAATATAAAAACTGCAAGAAATTTATTTTCCATAATATAAAAATATACACATAAGTTAAAAAGAATACCTATAGTTATTAAAAATAATTCAACTGATAAGTGATAAGCACAAAAAAATCGGAAATACTTATTAAATAAAAAATTTTCAGAATCCGAAATGTCCGAAATGCGGTAAAACCTAGGGTAAGAGCGGTTAAACCTAGGATAAGCGCGCTAAACCTAGGATTTACCAATGAATTAACACCCTCCAAATAACCACGCTAACGAACTCGAAATGCGGTAAAACCTAGGTTTTACTGCATTTCGGACATTTAGAGTGACATATATAAAACATTAGTTATTGCCCTATCGTTGGTTTGCTGCCAAAACTCAAAGTTGCAGATTTTTGAAAATATCATTAAGCTAAGTATTAAAAATTTATGTTTCTATTGTTTATTTCTTTACTTGTTTACTGGCTGACATTTTGATTTAATAAATTTTGAATTATATAATGATTAAAAAAGACTCAAAACCTTATTATTTTATATATCACTGGCTAATTTATCTCGTTTCAATAGGACAACAAAAAAAAAATAACGGAAATGCCTACTTGGCGGCAACCTTTATACTTTATACCTTGATTTCCTAATTCTTATAAATAAATCTAAGGGGTTCCCTCACTCTACCCAATGTGTCAATAATATCGAAATCTCTGATTCTCCTACACAGTGAGCGAAAATAAAGAATCTTAAGGCCCTACACACACACAAAACAACCTTATTTATTTAAATATATAGACTTCAAAATAGGAAAAAACTAGAAAACTTTTTGATACTTTGACAAAAAGCCAAGTTTCGTACTCAAGTATTATAAATTAAAGAAAAACCTGAAAGCGAGATTGAAAGCTATGTAGAAATTGTCCCACTGTATTGTGGTGTATTAAACAGCTGCACGTCTGAGGGTATGAGGGCACGTGCCCTATATGTATTTTCTTCTAAGGGGTAAACGTACCTTCCCCCCCACGTCTTAAAATTGACCGTATAAATATCGGAATTTACCATTTCGGATATACGCAAAGGGCGTTTATTAATAGAATTTCAGATTTCGAAAAGGAAGTGAAAGGAGGAAAAAGCAGCTGGATTTTTGATAAACCATTTCAACAACGCGTCAATTCTACATGTAAACGTGAAAATATTCAGGACTTACCGAAACTAGCTATGATCCTCCCGCCCATATCATATCTGCTGCTGTTACAAATCTAAAAAAGTACACACATATTTATTTAAAATGTACTTCTTATTATCTCAAAAGCCAAAGTATTTATGATCCTTTGAAGGTGTTAAGACTTAAAGTATATCATAAATGAGTTGAAACTTACCATAGCCAACAGAAATTCCTAGCAAGCTGTCCTCTATGTCCATCCTTTCCAGTACATGCTCTGATTGCCGAATAAATCTGAAACCAATAAAAATCAAATTTAAAAAAGTGTCAATATTAATTTTTAAATAATCATTTTGTGTATTTTTTGCAGAAATAATAAGACACTTACCACAATTTACATCTAGTAGGTATAAATATTAGGTATTTATAAATGTATCAAAATGGTCGTCACGATAGACTACCCTACACTCGCGATAACGGTAAGAGAATATCCCAAGGAATATTTATAAGTACATGTGGAACTCAGGCTTTACATTCCTGTGTTATAAAGCAGCAATAAAGTACTGCTATATAACTGAAAAACCTTGTCCTACATCCATCCTGCAGATTCGTCACTCCCGAAAACAAATACATCGGACGTTTTCTCAAATATTTGAACGTCTAAGGGTCGAAAGTTATATCGAAATGCGTGATTTAATTCGGACTTTAATTTGATATAGGACGTTTCTGTTAAAAAGAAATTTACCCGAGAAAAAGTTAAAATTAAGTTAGCCAGTTAGCCTTCGTAGTTAATAGCAATAAGATTTTAGCTTACAGACTCCACAAAAACTTTAATGGCGTCTTTTGCAAAAAACAATTGAGCATCGGGATGTCACAAGTTGATGAAGTTATGCTCGGTCGGTAAACTAATTTTTTATTAATCTTATATCAATTTTCATATCTAGTATTATCCTGTATTAAACCTCTTTTATTACTCAGAAATAAATTATTGTTCATGAAAAATGTATTAAATTAATTAGTAATTATTATTAAATTTCTATTTTTACAACCATTTTACAATTTACAACCCTCCATTTGTAATTGCTGACAACGTCGCGCAAGGGTCGCGCTCTCTAGGAAACTATCAGTTTAATCTATGTAAAAACTATTTAATCTATGTAACCCGGTATTATTTTTTTCAAATAATATCTGTTTTACGATTTCTTGACTAAATTACAATACAATCCTTTTAACTTATGAGTCCACACAGTCAAAACCCAAGTCAAAACCTACGTATTTCTTCTGAGGAAATTAAATTCAAACACTAGATAATATAAAAAAATAAGACCATTGTTATATAAATGAGTAGGCGTTATATGTTATGCACAAGGAAAAAGTATTTTGTCCCTTGAGGAGAGATTAAAGTAGGTATTTTAATAGACGGGTTACAGCTATACACCTATTCTAGCTCCTTCCTTGTAACGTAAAATAAATTTATTATGCCATCCGCTGGTGCCATCTATTCGACATAATCTACTTTTGAAGTTTTTTTTACTTTTGACCATTTTCACCTAGAGAGCGCCCTAGCACTAGCATTATGTAAATTAGTCTGTGGTGGTTACATTTGACAATTTCAATTTTCAATTTTCAATTAATTGAATATTTTATTTGATTAAACACCTAGAGCTTTTATCAGTGTGTAGAATTTATTTCATTCAAGTTCGCTATACATGGATTTTATATCTTCTCTTCCATCTGGAGCAGGTAAATAATCCCACACATTCTTTGGAACTATTTCCATAGTAAACTGAACGACTTGGAGGCTTAACCTGGTTTTGTTGTTAAAATTAATTTGTAAAATGTTTGCTCTTCGCAAACCGGTGTTTACTTCTCGTTTTTTATCTACAGTTGCCAAGGCTATGAACGATCATGGTATTGTTCCAGATGTCCTGAAAGACGCACCTGACAATCTAATTCAAGTACATCAGTATATAAACCTATTAACCATTTAATAACCAAATTGCTTTTAGGTTTCTTATCCTAATGATGTAGTAGTAAAATTGGGGAACGAGTTAACACCTACTCAAGTTAAAGAAAGGCCTTCTGTTTTGTGGGAAGCTAATGCCAATAGTTTCTACACATTGTGTATGACTGGTAAGGACTTATATAAGACTTTATTTAACTTTGATTAATCTTAATCAATCCGTAGACCCTGATGCTCCATCACGTGCAGAACCTACATTTAGAGAATGGCACCACTGGCTTGTAGGTAATATACCTGGCAAACAAGTACCACTAGGTGATGTTTTGTCAGATTATATTGGTTCGGGTCCACCAGAAGGTACTGGCCTTCATCGATATGTCTTCCTTGTTTTTCAACAGAATGGCAAAATAGCTTTTGATGAGCCACGTCTTCCAAATAAGTAAATGGAAAAGTATACAGAAATAGGCATTTAAATTTTAATGTGTTCTTTTAGTTCTGGTGATAAAAGGGGATGTTTCTCCATCGCAAAATTCGCCGAAAAATACAAATTAGAACTGATCGCAGGCAATTTTTATCAAGCTCAATATGATGACTATGTTCCCATCTTATACAAACAATTAGGAGAATAACATGCAAATAAGTATTTAGTCTTTGTTAATAATGTACTGCGGTAAACATTCAATTTATTATTATATTTTTACCTTTTATATTATATTCTTTGATTTATCCCCTAGAAGTAAATTAAAACACAAGTTCTTTTATACTTATATTACATATATATAAACACAACAAGTAAAAAATAATACATATTTCAAAGTGTATTTTTAGTAAAAATCTTTATTCTGCTCCCTAATCTTTTTCAGGAAAGTAGTATTCAATTCAAATTAACAGCAAAAAAATAATTATCTCGTGTAATATGGCCACAAAAATAAAAAATCTTACATCATAAACTATGAAAACTATCACATTCAACAAAAATAAAAATGAAAAAATGTAAACGAATATAATTTCAACAAGAGACTAGATAAATGCGACTACATGTTATGCCTAAACAATGTGTAAATTTTCTACTAACAAAATAATACAATTTTTTATTAAATAAACATACATCATGATGACATAAATGTGGTTAAATACACTAATATAAAAGAATTTCACAACTTCGTTCTTTATAAATCAATCTAAAAATATACAGACAAAAATATCTGAAAAGTAAAGAAATTATTGCCAATAAATATATAATGGATAATTCTTTTGCATTGTTCTAGAACAAGTCTTTTTCAGACAAACACTGAAAATCATTACTGAATACAGAAAATCTATAGAATTCGTAAATATACTCAGATCTAAAATAATGTCATAAAATTAGATATATTCTAAGAAAACTGACTAGATCATTTAAAATATATATGTGCAGTGTTGGGACTGTCCAAAGGTCTTTCACTTACATGCTAAAAGTAGTTTTATTTTTATTATCTTCCTATATTTAAAATTCCTCGTCAAGCATGCTTTACATTTAAGGTTGTTAGATAACTTCAAAATACACAGGTTCATATAGTTTCAAAATTATAAATTATATACCTGAGATTTTTTTCTAAACTTTATCACGTGTCTTGGTATAATACTACCACGTTATCTTACAACCTTAAAGTATTAATCAACCATGTATAAAGTATTAATTTAGTTTAAAAGGAAGAACTATTTTTTTAGATGTATTATAATATATGAGCAAGCACGTTTTAAAAAATATTTTACTAAAATCTATAAAAAAAATGTAAATAGCAAATTATAGCAAAAATATCACGAGTACCATTGTGTCAGTTAGAACTTTTTGTTCGCTAATATCGTTGAAACATCTTTCGCTTGTATCGGTATGAGGATCTAATAACGTTTAAAAACTGTGATTTTTATTGTCTGCGGTTAAACAAATATTTAATATTAGGAAGTGGATAGATAGAATTAAGCCAAGAATACATATAGAGGCTGACGCAAAAAGTTTACATCTTTACGAAAGGTGAAATCTGAGTTCCTGGTTTTTACATAGAGGTACCGATGCTCCTTTTAAACAAGACTTTAGAAAGCCAAGTACTTATTGAGTTTGTGCAGTGAATAATACACAATGTCATTCCGCTCTTTACCACACTGTATGTCATGATAAAATAGAGATATCTGTTTGTGTGTGTCAGGAAATAAATAAATGTAGATATTTATTAATACCAGGAAGGAAATATTGAACTGCTTCATCTTATAGTCATGCTCATGCACAATTTGTGATCTCTGTAGTCCCCCCATCCCCCATTTCCTTTCCTTAATTTGGTCTTCTTCAGCACAGTTGCCAAATTTAATATTAAATAGTCCGGATACAGATGCCTTTTTGCCGACTTCAACACTTGCTGGACCTTGGAGATGACCGCCGTCGAACCGCAATTATTTTTCTTGTGATGGACCCCGCTAAAAATATATATTTTTTAGCAAATTTACATAGGAAATGAGAAAAATTACCATTCCCCAATGTGAAAAACTCTGGGTCCTCTAGCTACCATGGCGTGCAATTTTTGTTTCAGACAATTTTGCGAAATATGTTGCAAAGACCAGTCCCAATTGTAGTCATCGTATTTGCAAAAATACGCAGCGCATCTTACAATTCCATTCCACGTACTTCTGTTAAAAGCCATTCCCATATTATGCTTACTGCTTATCCACGGTGTTATTTCAACCTGTAATTCAGCAACAGATTTTTTACTTCTAAATTAAATAAACGAAAAAATAATTATATGGTTTTCAATGAAAAAAATATATTTTCATTCACTGAGGAATATTTTAAAAATAATGTTTGTATTTCGAGTCAGGGACAATTAAAATGAAACTTACAATACACCTGTTGAAAAAATATTGAGAAAATCATATTAGATACGGTTGGAGAAAAAATAACTGGGATCAAGGTAAGGTTAATTTTCATGCATCATTTACAAGGATTTTGAAGTACGCAACAGGGAGATTTATTTTATGTTTTAAGTCGGATATTGATTATTATGCAATATTTGTTCCCTGCACGCCAGGAACACAATATGCCTATCAAAAGACCCTTTTTATAAGCAAAATCATATGCACAAGAAACACGCAAACTATTGTGTAAAATAAAAAATACATATTTTATTTGCCAAGTTAACTAGGCGAATATTTATTTTACCAATTTTACCACAAAATATATACTCGTTTTTATTAAGATACCTGTGTACTGATACAACAGAAATGCACATCATAAAAAAATAAACAAACTAATCTTCTACATCAAAAAAATATATATTTATAATTCACCGATATTAATAGTATATCGTTTTCAAAAAAAAAATTATATACAAATATGGATACTTACAAATTTCCATACATCGCAAAACATTCTTCTGACTGCCCTTGTTTTTGAAGGTTTCAACAGAGAAAATATTACATGCTCAACGACATCAAAATGATACATTAATGCAACAATGAAATTAAAAATACAACCTTTAATTTTATTTGCATTGGACGCATGAATGAGTATCGAAAGCAATCTTGAGTAAATAAATATAAGGAACTCGAGCGATGGAATTAGTTTAACATTAGGCAATATACAGTAATAAATCATACAGGGTGTTATTAAAGTATGTAGCCAAACTTTAGGGGTGTCTCTTATAACATTTTAATCCCGAAAAGTGATTTGAGTCCCTCCCAGGACGACACTGAGCATAACTTATTAGAAAAAAAACGATTATTTTTAAAAATTTGACACCCTGTATATTGAATAACAAATACTGTTGAAGGGCAAATTCATGTTCGTAGCCTGTGTAAATGTTTATTTATTTAAGATTACATAATATTTATTACAGAACTCTCAATGTCTCAGGCTCCCTCTACACATAACCTTTTACCGGTTTTGCCCCTATCAGTCTAATTTATTCATTAAACCGTATCAATTATAAACTTGTGTGTAGACGAAAAAACGTCCCGTTTTAGTTGAACTGAATCTAATTTTACAAAACTGTTTTGAGATTTTTTTACTTCGCTCCCGATTAATTGCCAAAAACTAATTAAACACAAAAACTACCCCTAAATATAGGTTTTTGAGGGTTGAAACTACCACCACCCGATGTCTTCTGTTCCCGTGAACCTAACTATACTTCAACCGACTCAATAATAACCCTATTCGTTTTGTAGTTTTTATTCCCAAAAAAACTATTAAAACAAAAACCACCCGTAAAATAGGGATTGAGTGCTTCTCCATAAGGGACATGTAACTTCATTCATTTTTTTCCAACGATGGCTGTCCTAGTTGTAGTAAAGTTGAACTTCACCCGATATGTCCGCAATCTATATTATACCTGATTGTAGTAACCAAGATTTCATTCTTAATTGCCGCTATAAGGACCGCCCTAAACCAAAATGGCCACTGTTTTCAAGCTGTCTATTGGTCCATCTACAAATGTCATTATTATATTGTTGAACGAGAACACAACTCTTAAAATGATTTATGATAATGGCTATTTTTAATATATTTTCAGAGATCTTAGAAAAAATGGAAAAGTGAATATAATATAAAAATTTGAAAATTACAGTATTTGTATGAAATTATATATATATTTAAGATATATTAGGCTTAAAGTCTATATTTGGCATGTTGCTTTCATTTTGTTAAAAACTTGATTTTTTCAAACCTTGCTGTGAAACGTTTTAAGATGATGGCTATATTTGGCATGTTTTCAGAGATCCTAAAAAATAGTAGGCTAGTTTTTAATCCCTCTTACCTGACAGGTAAAACGTTAAGTGTAGAGGGGCTTTAACAATAATCATTTCAGGATGTATTTTTAAATAAACCATAACAAAACTGTAAGCGTAAATGATGCACAAGCAAGAAGCTACCTTTTGCGGGTGCTGATACAACGAGGGCAACACCTGAAACGTCCAAGATGGCTGAACATCTGCGAATTTTTTTTTGGTCTTCTGTTTCGCGCGCAAAGCCTCTCTCTGGAAATTCATTGATTTTGCTTTTTAACTGCTAAGCCTATTATTCTTTGCAACACCCCATATAACTTATCTCCCTTCAACCATATTTTTCCCACCACCAAATTGTTTAAATATGTACTTAAGAACTAACATATTACTTTACGCACTATGTATATCTAGTATATACAGGTTATCTATAAATATATATAGCACATTGAAGATGGGTTAAGTGTGTCTATCTATATAAAAAAATATGGTTAAAAATGGAAAACACAACTCTTAAAACAGTACAATATAAGCTTTAGATTTGTATATATTTTTGAGAAGAAATCTAAAACTTATTTGTCGATTTTTAAGCATGATTTAGTGATGCAAATAATGAATAAACTCCCACAAATATGGTTACTATAATAAAATAAAAATACCTTTTTTGAGTCTCCATAGTAATTGTACGTTTTCAAATAGGTTCCTAAAGACAAAATATTACAATGGCGACAAGCGTCCTTACAAGTCCTCTCCATCAGTCTCAAAATATGAATAAAGTCTTCAGCAACGTAGTGATCTTCTTCCAAGAACAACACCAAACCTGTGTGATTCCTGGTTACCTCCAGCTGATTGAAAACTCGGTTCACTTTCCACCACCAATGATGCTTGGTCTGAGTAAATTTAGCCTCCCTGTAATGCCCATACAAATCTGGGTACAAAGCGTTGTTACATTTCACTTTCAGTGCTCTGAAATAAATTAAATCAGATCCTTGAAAAAAAGACAAAAAAAAACTTTACTTGTCTTTCTTCATATCTCTAGGGCAATCTGAAGGATCCTCTCCAGGAAATTCATGAGGATGCGTCTGAATGGAATAAGGGTAAAATATTTGAATGACCTTACAAAAATCCACGCTCTGTACTAAGTTGTTTATCTCTTCGTCATAGTAATCATGGGAAAAAACGATTAATGCTTGAGATATGTCGCGAGCCTGAGCCAGGCTTACTATCAGGTGACGCAAGTATGTTATTCTATCATGGATCTAGAAGAAAATTTACTTTGAATAAATAAAGTAGGTTTCTATATGAAAGAGGTTTACTTGTATTACTATAACGATGGAGTCGTTTTGTAGCGGGCCGAAAAGGTCTTCGTTGTAAACAGTTTGTTGAAGATTGTATTGAGCGATGTTTCGTTTGATGTCGGATATATTAAGAGATGCCTTATAATAGCCTAAATTATTGTAGCTGCCGTTTAGACCGATGTTCGTCATGTTCTTAGGCTTGGGTGCGAGGAATTTGTGTAGGACGACGGGCACCATGCTAAGTATAGCCGCCTGGGAGTCGTTGATGTCCGAGTACGTGGAAACGGAGCCTCCGAAATCCACGAAACTTACTTGCACCCATACGAATATCACTATAAACAAGATCAGACCAGCCCTTATCCAAAATGTTGTTCGTCGACGCCATATCTGGCTTCTTCCACTGCTCATTATATAGCATATCTTGTCTTAATGTACCTAAAAAATACAAATAGATTATGTATGGAAACCTTCACTTCACATAGCAACTACTTGGAAAAATCCCATGTACTTACATATTTATGTATTTTCAATAAAAATAAATATTTTAAGTTTGTTTTTCTTCCAAAACCATTGCAGATGTAAGTCTATTTTAAAATATTTGCAGTATAAACTTAATAGTCCAGGAGGCAGTGGATTTTTGTTGTACTTATTTTCCCAATGGGTGATTATAAATTATAAGTATAATAGTATGTTCGGATGGTGACATTAAGTAACACTTTGTGAGTCTGGCTAAAATTTACAGATGGGTTCACTAAATAAAAATAAAAAAGTCCACTTATTTTCCCAGTCATAAATATTTGACATTTATTAAAGTGAATCATTTTATTAATGGACATAACAGTCTGGCACGTCTCAAAAAATTTGACAGATTTTTGAAATCCGTAATCCTTATTTTCCCATGCTTGAAATTTAACGTATCATTTGATACTATCATAAACTATAATGAAAAGCAAGTCTGGCGGATTTAAGAAATTGGCAAATGACTCTGGTGGCATCTTGAAAATTGCAAAAATTACAACATTTTTGCTCTTATTGTCCCGGATTTGAAAATTTGTCACATTATAAATAATACTATAAGCAGTTCATAGAGGGGGGAATACACGTCTGGCTTGGTTTTGAATGACATGTTATCCTGCCAGACATATATTATCCATTTTCGCAGATTAGCCAGACTATTTTTTTTCTTCTATTTTTATAGCTGGAAAAAAAGTGCAGTATATCGGTACTTTCTAAGGCATTTTCCGCCTCAACCTATCGGAAGATCCCCCTCTACATATACCTATATGAAATTTTGCTTAGAATAACATACTGATAATAATTCTATGAGTGTTTGCTGAGTGGGAAAATAAGTACAAAAAATCTTCACTGCCCCCTGGACTATAACATAGAGTGATATAAACAACTAAGTAAAAGTTTTGATACTAACTTAAAAAAAACATAGATTTTATTATATTGTTTTTACAGTTTACCAACAGCTTTTGGAATATAAGCTACCATTTCCAATTCGAGATAGTGGGGCGTTTAATGCGCTATTTAATGCGTTTGTATAAATAAACATTATGAATAATTGTCGAAGTGAGTTTACTAACTAACAGAATAGAAATGAACAATAACAGTTTATGAAATGAATATGTGTCATCACATTTCCGCCCATTTGTTAATTTTTTTTAATGTCACGCCATGAAAGACATATCCATTAGTTGAAATTAAATTAGTGCTTTTTTATACGCGTCATATCTCGTCCTATTCAGGCGCGCTTAGGCAAACTTTCATAATTAATAAACAAAGGTGCTAAAAATATCCATTAAATTACTCATGGATATTGTAGGGCCTATGTGTATGTTCTAATCAATTTAAATAAAAGTCGCTAATACAGGTATATTTCCAATACTAATTATAACAGCTATGATAGCATTTTTACTCTTCTACAAAATCAACAGGAAAAACCTAAAGCCAGTAATAAATAAAACAACACAAAAATAATATAAACAACCTTTTCAACCGTACTCATTAAATATAGAAAACCACAAATATAAATAGTAGAGATTGAAAGCATTTGATTTGTGTAAAACCTGAATTAATAAAAATCACAATATAATACAGTAATTGTGTAGTATATGACTCCTATTATAGTCTCATTTAAAATGACAAATAATAAAATTGTTTAGAAAAACATAACTTCATAGAGAAAATGTGCCTGTATAAAATGCCACAAAGTTAAAAAAAATAACTTAAAATCACAAGATTTAAAATAACTTATTTGCAAAAGAAATAGTTAAATATTATTTAGATCAGTTTATACTCTAAATACTTTTGTATACTTGTATAATTGCAAAGTATCGTATCGTGACAAACTACAATTGATATATTTTATATCTATAATATAAATATAAAACAATCAAGCTCATTTATTATTCTAAAGAGTTATATTCTTACATATTTCCTTTTCCTTCTGTGCATTCCTAGTAAATTCATTTGAATTGATATTATGAGATATTAAATCATAACTTATTGTAGTCCAATTGTACTGTTGAATAGCCTATTTTTCCTGAAAGTAAAGAGTGCACGAACCTTAACAAACTATTAAAAATATACCGAAAGTCTTTATAGTTTTCACTGAGGAAAAACACTTTTCACCAATGCACATCACAACACCTGATACCTGACATTTCTGAACTGAAAATATTGAAAACAAACCGAGCAAGTAAATTACGTCTGTCGACATCTGTTGGATGACAAGTGTAACCTAGTAAACTGTAGATCACTATACTTACTTTGCCTCCAAATTATTTAAACCTCTATTACTGAATAATAATAATCTATAACAATAATTATTAGCATAAATTATGGAGGGCCATTTAGCCTCCATAACATAAATTAAGTAATACCGTATGATCGAATAAAAAACGGCGTCAGCGATGACTATGAAATGAAGATCGCTGTCATTTTATATTTATGTAAATTTATATGGGAAATGTCATCGATGTTCATTTCATAGCCATCGCTGACGCCGTTTTTATTCGATCATACGGTACATAACTAAATAAAATAAAACAACTTTATAGCTTCCATAAATTTATCTTGTTTGTAACTTGTAACATGTATTGGTCCCCTGCATATAACTGTTATTAATTATTATACTAAATACCACTAAAAGCCATAAAAATAATTTTAATTACATATCATCGACATCTTTTAAAGCAAATTCTGGTTTATTGTATCCCAACTCCTCTGGAGTTGGAATGCCTAGCTCAGTCAAAGTTGGTCTAAGTTCCTGGATATACCATGGATAAATTTCATCTACTTTATTTCCACATTTATCCTTAAGAGCTTCCAGAATTCTGATGGCCAAAGCTAAGTCATTTACTCTGCGGCAAGCTTTCAAAGCAGCTGTAAGGATAATAGGTTCAGGAACTAAATCGTGACCCCACAAATCAGTGACTCCTCGTCTGATATCCCAGCCATCAATGTCTGGGTTGTTGAAAAATTTTTCGTAACTACAATGAAAGGGTTTATGAGTGTCTAAAACATTTCACAGACAAAAAAAAACTGGTATTTAATAGTGACAAAGAAAAAAACCTTACCGTTGATCAAATTGGGCGTCAGTTTCCGTATTTTCTTTGGACATACACCTAATACCCCCACATGAAATTGGCTTAGAAACTTTGTTAGCATTCTTCAATAATGCCTGAACACGAAAAGCTGAGTTTCGTAACATTTTAAGTACAAATTAAAATACTGTAAGGTAAAAATAAGGAATGTAAAATTCAAGTGACTTCTTGCTTTAATGGCGTATTAAAAAAGTTAGGTTAAAAGTCACGCGTCACCTTTGACAGGAAAAAATGTGGGAAATTCAAAAGTAATAAATTTATTCTCCTTAAATTAATAATAATTTTATAAATTATTTGCGTACTTAAGAAGGTACATATTATGCTAAAGACCAAATAAACTGCCAATAAGTTAAGTGAGTTGAATTCGATTTTCAAATAGCGATAAATTGCGTTTGATAGTTCGATATAAAAACTTTTATTTATCAAAACATCTTTAGTGCTTTGAAATACAGTACCCCTTGAGTTAAAGTGTATTAAAAATACCCTTTCAATAAATGATAATTTAATTATAATAATGAAAACACTCTTTTGCATTTTTATCATTAAATAGCTTTTGAATTTCACGGGCGTCGCAGACCAATCAAAAAATTACATTTTCCTCTTTAGCTTCTTGACCTCAACCAATCATTTGAAGACAACACAAAATCTCACGCATGGCCATTATTATAAAACGTCGTAGCCACGTACAGTTGAAAAGAAACTTCAGTTTATAGCCGGTTGTTTTAGTTTTATTGAAGGGATTAAAATTTAAAATGTTGTGTTTGCAAGTTCTTTCGATTCTACTAATTGCTACGGCTGCCCTAGCTAGTGAGGAAGACGTTTTGGAACTTGGAGACAATGATTTTGACTCAAGATTGTCGGAAATTGATACAGCACTTGTCATGTTTTATGCACCATGGTAAGTTTTTTTTAAATATATTTTAATGAATTTGTCCTTAAATAATTTCTCTAAAGATATAGCTATACTATTTTTTCACTCGAACAAATTCTGGCTCTCCATTTAGGTAAAAAACATTTTTTAATGTGTCAATTTTCTGATAATATGGCCCCAGTAAAAAACAATTTTTGTACATCCTAAAATTAAACCATATTTAAATATATAAAAAACAAGTTTACCCTGAAAGGTATTGTGCCACTGGAAAAAATAAACTTAATTAATTAAAAAAAAAACATATTTTAATGTGTTATTTTTTTGGAAATTTGGTTCCAGTAAAAACAATTTTTATATACATCCTAAAATTAAACTATTATTTTTTTCAAAGGTGCGGACATTGCAAACGTCTAAAGCCAGAATATGCAAAAGCTGCTGAAGATCTAGTTAGAAATGACCCTCCTGTTACTTTAGTTAAAGTTGATTGTACTGAAGCTGGTAAAGAGACGTGTAATAAAAATTCTGTTAGTGGATATCCCACTCTAAAAATATTCCGTAATGGAGAATTCTCTCAAGAATATAAGGGGCCACGTGAAGCTAATGGTAAATTTAAAATACAATAATATGAAAAACGGATTTATGATTTAATTTTTTATTCTGAAATATTTATAGTCAGTCGCAATCTAATTAAGAATTTGTCTTCTAGGTATTGCCAAGTATATGAAAGCTCAAGTAGGACCTGCATCCAAAGAACTAAAATCTGTTGCTGATCTAGAGAAGTTCTTAGCTTCTGAAAAAGAATCTGTTGTTATTGGCTTCTTTGAAAACGAATCTGATCTCAAAGCTGCCTTTTTCAAACTTGCAGATAAACTTAGAGAAAAAGTTCAGTTTGCTCACTCCAGTTACAAAGATGTTTTAGCTAAACAAGGAGTAACGTAAGCACTGCTCTGTTCCTTAAAAACAAATTTTTTAAGATTATTTTTCTCTTTCCACAGTGATGCAGTTATTTTATTCCGTCCAGCTCATTTGAAAAACAAATTTGAACCCAGTTCTGTAACCTATTCTGGCCCTGCCGAGTCATCTGACCTAAATGATTTTCTTACTAAAAATTTGTAAGTTTAATTTATCAAGAGGTTTAAAAATAAAATATAATAATCTGCAATTTCAGCTATGGTTTGGCTGGTGTTCGTAAATCTGACAACCAGCGTGAATTCAAGAGTCCATTGGTAGTTGTATATTATGCTGTAGATTACGTGAAGAATCCCAAAGGAACCAATTACTGGCGCAACAGAGTTTTGAAGGTATTTTTTTAAAACTTCAGCCACAGTAATTAATTTTTAATAATGATCTCTATTTATTAGGTTGCTGAGCAATTTGCTGGAAAAGTCAACTTTGCTGTGTCCCCTAATGATGAATTCACTCATGAGCTAAATGAATTTGGTATTGAGTTTGCTCAATCTGATAAACCCAAAGTAGCTGCCAGGGACGCTAGTGAAAAGAAATATGTACTTAAAGAAGAATTTTCGTAAGCATATTTTTTTGTTTGAATTTTAAGATTTTTATTAATCTAAAGTTGAATTGTCTAGGGTTGAAAGTTTAACCAACTTTGTTAATGACCTGTTGAATGAAAAACTTGAGCCTTACATTAAATCTGAACCAATACCAGAGAACCAAGATGAGCCAGTGGTAGTGGCTGTAGCCAAGAACTTTGAAGATGTTGTAGTAAATAATGACAAGGACACTCTTATAGAATTCTATGCGCCATGGTGTGGACACTGCAAAAAGTTGGCTCCAGCATATGACGAGTTAGCTGAAAAAGTAAGCAGGGCTTTTGCATTTTAAATGGATTCCATTGTATGAAGTTTTATTCTCATTCCAGCTTAAAGGTGAGGATGTTGCTATTGTGAAAATGGATGCAACTGCCAATGATGTCCCTCCTAATTACGATGTTCGTGGCTTCCCAACTCTATACTGGGCTCCCAAAGACAAAAAGAACAATCCTGTCAGATATGATGTGAGTTTATTGAGTATGTTCATTCACGGTGTCGTTCTAAAAAATAAATTTATTTTCAGGGTGGTCGTGAAGTTGATGACTTCCTGAAGTACATTGCCAAAGAAGCCACAAATGAATTGAAAGGATGGGATAGAAGCGGTAAAGAGAAGCCTGCCAAGACTGAGTTGTAAAAGTGTTATGAAGTTGTTTTTTTCTGGTATTTTAATATGTACTTTTAACATGAGTTGATGTTTTCAGTGTCCTCCATTCAAAAACGAATTCGATTCTTCACGTGAACGCTCTTGTATATTTTTGTATTCGGTTTTCATCAGTTTTGTATTTTTATAATGTGCAGAAATTGTTCCTTAAGTCGAACATTTTGTATTGAGAGAAAAAACTTTGGAATCATAATATTTTGTTTCTACGTGCTTTATTTATTAGTTTTAAGTCAGTCGAAAGAAAAAGACAGGAATTCGGTGTAAAAAATGTTTTGGTAAGAACAAAATAATATGGTTTTTCTTATTTTTGTTGTGATGTATAAAATTAAATTAAATAAATATGCTCTAAGTAAACTTTTAATTTAAATGTTTTGTTTAATACTCTCGAAAAAAAATTACCTGTTCCCCAATGATAGCAGCAAATTATGTAATATTCCACAAAGTTTATCTACTGAATAGTGGCTCCTCCGCCATTTAATAAAGAAAAATGTAACATTTTTAAATGTAACATTTTTCTGACCTGAAAAAATTAAATAAAAAAACAATTCTGTTTTTTAAAACGTATTATTTTACAAATAATAAACTTTGCAAACCTAAACCATAACATTTTCAACAAATAAATACAAAAATAAAAATATCAAGTTGGAATGAATGTATGTTCCACTCCTTAACAGTTTATTCACGTTTGTACCATTTATATGAGCCTGTGTAGGTAAAGTTATTTTTCATTAATAATTCGTCGGCCTCTTTGGGTCCCCGACTTCCAAACACGTACGGAATTGGTTTGACTCCGCCACTTTCTATCTCATGTAGCAGAGGAGTGAATATTCTCCAAGCTTCATGCAGTTCGTCGGATCTGACAAAGTGCATTTGAGAACCGCAAAAAACGTCCAGTATTAATCTCTCGTAGGCATCAGGTAACTTGACAGTCTGAAATAATGGAATATTATATCATAATGAGAGCGATTAGAAGAAGAAAAAAGTAAACTTAATTTACAACAAAAATTCAGTGATAACAGTGCTAGTATTCACAAGCATTAAGTTGTGGCTAATCTTGGTTTAATAATAAAAAAGGTCAGGGACAGATAATCATTTCTATCTATAAAATAACACTAAATTCCAAGAAATCATTCGAGTCATGAAGAATTTCCAAGAATTATTTTTTTTCTGTTATTAATCTTTTTCTACTAACGATAGTTACATAATTAAATCTCTCTCAGCTTATTTATTAAACTCAGATAGAACCATGGTTTATTTAAAAAAGCGATCTTGAAAATTAAATATAAGCACACACGAATTCAAACAACTCAACTCGTCAAAAAATTGTATTAATAAAACAAATCCATGCACAATTCGTGTTATAATACAACTCACATAACATTTTCCCATATGGTCCTCCTTACAATTCGATTGTTCCTAATAGTAAAATATATATTTTAAATGAACAGAATTGAGCACATGATTTAAGCAAGAGAAATTCTAAATATACATTGATAAACTTACAGCGTATCTATGTCCGTAAGTTAGGTCCAGTTCAGTTTCTTCCATATCAAAGGCCATTCCCGGTGTTTTTACCATCAGTTTAACATACAGTGCTTCCCCAGGTTGTACTCTTATAACGAGTTCATTCCTCTTTGGTTTTCCATCGAATATGTCCCCTGGAACGTCTTCAAACTGAATCCTTACTTCTGCCTTCCTCTCATTAAGTGCTTTAGAAAAAAAAGTTGACATTGATATGATATTTCCGATCAGTTCATTCCCAAACAATTTACCTTTTCCACATTTCAGAATAAAGGGCACGCCATCCCACCGTTCGTTATTGATTCTAAGTACTGCGGCCGCATAAGTAGGAGTTAAAGAGCCTTTTGGAACGGTTGGGTCATCTAAATATCCTAACTTTGCTTCACCTTCACCCTCTGGATCAGCCACGTACTGACCTAACACCACATCATGCAGTTCAAGAGATTTAATACTTTTTAACACCTTTACCTAAAATAATAAAACATAAGAGTTTAACATAAAATCAATATAGGAGTTTTAGTGCTTCAAATGAATCTTAGTCTTTACATTTTTTTGGGTTTGGGGCGAAGAGACTAGGGGCAAAGAAATATATGTATGTAATACCTTTTCATTTCTTATATCGTCAGGCAAACAGGAAGCAGGCTTCTCCATTGCAACTAAAGTTAAGATTTGTAACAAGTGATTTTGCATGATGTCTCTGATAATTCCAAATTCATCAAAATAGCCTCCTCTTCCTTGTGTTCCAAAGGGCTCTTTAAATGATATCTGGATAGAGGCAATATTATCCCGATTCCATGTGGGGCCAAATATTCTATTTCCAAACCTTAAAGTCATGAGATTTTGTACCATTTCTTTTCCTAAGTAATGATCAATCCGGTATATTTGGCTTTCAGTAAATAGTGAAGCTAAGTGATCTGATAATCTTTGGGAACTAGCTAAATCACGCCCAAAAGGCTTTTCAATAATAATTCTATTCCATCCCCTATAAATTAAATTGAATATAGTATCTTATTTATATATATACACACCACTTTAAAAATTCTTACTTTTCACCCATACAAGAATTTCTTATTAAGATTGTTACTTCTTCAAAGACTGATGGTGGCAAAGCTAAGTAAAATAATCGATTTGCAACAGCCCCTTTTTCAAACTGACTTAATTCTTGATTTAATTTCTCAAAGTCAGTTCGAACATTGTAATTTCCTGAGACGTAATGGTTCAACTTCCAAAACTCTGCATATCTTTCTTCCTCTCCGGGTTTTACTTTCATGTAAGGTTCGCACTTTGTTTTAATATCATTTATTGTTGTCTTACTTCTAGCATACCCGAAGAAATGTGTATTGGATGGCAACAAATTGTCTCTGTAGAGCCACCATAACGTCGGATAAATTTTCTTTCTAGCCAAGTCACCCTAGAAACATTAAGCTGAATAATATTGTTAAAAATTTTTGTAATTAAGAGCTAATATTTGTGCTAAACATCACTAAATATTGATACAGAACAAACATTACTACAATGTCAACTTTATTAATTAACTAAATATGTAAAACCAGTAGGGAATGGAAAATATATTTTCAAACCGTATGAAATTTAATACTACATACTGATGCTCCTAGAGTAACAAATACATGAGGATATTGTCCATCGAAATGGGTCCCATCATGGTCCATATCTTTGGACTTGAGGGATTTTCTGTATAGAGCCAGACATACTTCTGAGTTGTCTAAAAAATAACAATATAATCCAAAACCATTCAATATAACTTCAGGAATAATATGAAACGATACCATCGCATTCTGGAAAAGTTTGAGAACGCCAAGACATTTTGAGAAAATTGAAGATAGGAGGATAGGAAGATTGTTGTACTGTTAATAGTGAATAAAACAGTAAAAAACTCTTGAGTAACTAATCAGATGACTTTCAATCTTTTTCAATAACATACTTTCGAGCATTAAACAGAAATTTGATTAGTTCAAGGTTAGTTTATGGATGAAATCGCCTGGATTTAAATTTTGCCGCTAAAACTACGAGATATCTTAAAAAGCGAAATTTTAAATTAAACTTACGGCATTTATTACGAAACATCATTTCTTTATGTGAATAATATAAAAATAATTATCGAATTGCGAAGAAACTGTAACATTTCAAATTTTATATAAAAGCACTAATCATAGACAAGAGATACACTAATTATGCAACCAGTAAATCAAACAAGTAAAAAATTTTAAAACATGAAATTCAAAAATAAATTAATAGAAATAAAAAAACTAATTAAATCCCTGCGTGTAGTAAAAGGAAACAAGAACAATTTATAAAAGTATTTAATTATCTTGGATTCAAGTGTTAAAATATCAAAATTTTTTAAGTAGTTTGTCGCTAATATACCAAAAAAAATTAAACAACTGCAGCATTAATTGTGGAACTAATATATGAGTAGATTTCATAGAATTAAAGCAAAATACCTTGGATTCTTTATTCTTTCTATAGTTTAGCTTCTACACCTTAATTTAATAAATACTACTTACTTGGTTTGTTGGTATTCATTTTACAAATAAACTAGTTAAATAATTATATTTTCGGTATTATATTCCAGAACACCAGAAACACATTAACGAGTGATAAGTAGGTATTTATCAACGGAAAAATCATGCAAATTGGATGGAAGGTTTAGCCTTCCAATGCGATACTATAGTTTAAAACTATCAATTCTAACTTGTCTACTAATTTTCTTAGCTGATTTTTAAAGCATGCGATCGACCCGTCACTAAAACAATAACTGAATCACCAAAAAACTCCAAATTATCGACGACTAATGATTTAGAAAAAAAAACACTAGAAAGATAAAAGTTAAAGGAAATAATGAATTGCGCTACGTAAAGATAGGCAACTAATTAAAGGTATGCTGAATCAAATGCTGACTTGCGTTTTTCTATTTTAATTCGACCATCAAAGTTATTTCGTTATTAAATTTTACAATAAAACGAAATTAGGGTGACGCGCGCATCTCAAGTTTTAAGAGCCTTTTAATTTAACGCCAAATGACGTAACTTTATAGAAATGATATAATATATAATTTTGAGAGATAACCTATGGATTTATCAAAAATAAATTACGGAAACAATATCAAAGAGTATAGACCCTAATCTCTACCCATACACCGTTCCCGCTCCTACAGTTATTGTTTTAATGCAATAATTATCTAGTATTTATGTTTCGTGTTATTAAACTAAATTCGTTAAAAGTAAACATGCTGACGCAGCCTCTGTAAAGGACATGCATGTGTGTATTTTGTAAAAAAACAAGGATAATCGATTTAAACTCAAAATAAAACTTGTAGATGTTTATTTGAGACAAAAATATAGGTACATCACAATGATAATACTATCAAAATCGAATTGTGTAATTAAGTTTTAACAAATACTTACTTTGCCTAACTAAAATATACATGTTTAGCGTCAACTTAAAACGAAGAAAACAAAACAAAAAATCTTTTGCTTGCTCCATTAATAAAGGTACTAATTAAATATTATTCATTCTAAACTGGCAGAAATCGTCTCTAAATTTAAATCAAGTTATCTCGTTTTTCACGGAAAAATATTTTCAAAATTAAGGGTGTTCCAGATGGTTTAATACGTATTTATATAAAAATGGGCTAAAAAGACGATTAAAGCCAGAGAATACCATCAAACGGCTAAATATTGCCCTATATAAAACTTATTTATACTCATTCCACGATGCATGCGCACATTTTAAATAAATAAAAATTCACATTCAAGCATAAACGATTAGTATATGTATGTATAAATAAAATTTGCTTAAAATAAAGGAATTAAGTATAGTTGTACCATCGGGCAGTATTACTTTTTTATTCCAAAAAGACGAAGCGCCATCTCTTTAGATCCCGTATTACATCTACTACGTACACAAAGAAAATAATACTTTAGAGGTGAGAAACAAGAGAATAAAAATGGCCATTCAGAACATTTTAAACGTAGACCCCTTATAAGAGAAAATTTTTCTTCATGTTTTTCATACAAAAATACAAGAATTTCGAATCACTGGATAAAAATAATAGAGGTTCTACATTTAAGACCTGACTATTTCCAAAAGAGCTACACGGCTTCAAAAAAACGGACAGAAAAACGAAAAGATAATACCTTTCTAAATAATATCACAAGATACAAAACTTAAAACTAACTTTACAAGCCCGTAAGAAATTAACACTTAAAACAGGAACAAAAATGACTATGTACAAGGGCCTCATGAACAACAATTTGTCACGATAATGCGAATCTGGACTTAGACACCGAGTTTTATGTATATCCACTTAATTTATAACCCTTTCTTCTACAAAGCTCCGTGTACACAACACATAAAGCATAATTTCACAAAAATTATAATTTTACAAAATTGTTTAGATATATTGAATGATTATTACGAAATAAAATTATTTCCACAAATTTTTTGCGGGTTTACAGATTTTTTTTCAGCTTCACTAATCCAGTGCTATAATTGATCAAACCGTAGGCAAAACTTCCAGTGTTTACTCTTATTTTTAATTCGTCTTACCTGAGGGTGCAGCCACACTATCCTAAAAACGGCGTATCGGCGTAACGGCGTAACGACCTTGAATCGATTTCCAGTAATTCTATTGGCTGAAATTTTTGACAGATGAATTTGACAGATAAAATTTCTGACAGATGAATGTTTCAGCCAATAGAATTACTGGAAATCTATTCAAGGTCATTACGCTGTTACGCCGATACGCCGTTTTTAGGATAGTGTGGCTGCACCCTGACGGGTAAAATGTTGTGTAGACGGTTCTTTTGATCTCAAAAAAAGGTGATAAAAATTGGTCTGTTTATATTCAGATTACTAAAATATCACTAAAATATATACGTACATTATATAAACAAGACAAATGATAAAAAATTTCTTGAGTTTATTAATGAATTTAACGTGTTAAGGTGCGTTCACACCTGCTGCGCCGCGCAAAGCATTTTTTTACCATGTACTTTTGAAATGTATTTTTCTTAACGCGCACAAAAGTATATGTCAAAAAAATGATTTGCGCGGCACGGCGCGGAGCGGCGCAGCCGGCATGAACGCACCTTTATATGTGTTCCTAAGTCATACTAGACCCGCAGCTATTACTGCAAGTTTTATTTATTCTAAAATTTCCAACTACTTCAGGATATGCATGATAAAAAATTTCTGATTTTATGGGCCCCACTTAAAACTCTATCGTTTTCAATGTTACGAAAGAAAAAATATCGACCCGAGTAAAAAAATATTTTTCGTCTCGTATCTCCCGGCTTTTAAAGTATATAAGGAACGATCACGTTGAATTTTCTGGCCCTAAATTTGAAATAATATCAAAGGAAAAATACACGGATAAGCTTACCACCATAAAAAATCCGCTAGGGGGTCAAGGCCCCCATACACTTCTGTCGTTTCGCCTGTTCGTTCAATACCTGTCTCAGCCAAATATTTTAACTGTATGGTTAAAACAACGGTTTTAACAGCACTTCTTAATATATTGTTTTCGATGCATGGCGTTCGACACGAATTAACACTGAATAATTTACGATTGAATTCATTGGACTACATAGTTTTCTATGCATTGGAAAATTGAATCTGCGAACTATCACAGAAGGAAATGAAAAACTAGATCTATAATGCCAAAATAGACTATCAGAAAAAAAGTAAACCTTAAAAATTGACTTTTATTTTGAAAAAAAAAATTATGAAACTTTTGAAACATTTTTACCTATTCCATTTTTTGGTTTCCTTTTTTACAGCTAGCAAGTTCTTTCTCAAACCAATCTTTCTTGTCTACGACGCGGATAAAATAAACTGGGCAAAACGAGACAGTGTATGGAGGTTGTTTGCCCGTCCTTCCTACCCGCGCGTTTTTAACTGCACGGTTAAAACCGAGCAAAATAACCGAGGTGTATGGGTGCCTTTATACGGCCGTTTCGGCTAGTCAATCTTGCTCAATGGGCGGCGTGTCGTGCAGCAAAACCGAAAACTCGGCAAGATCGTCGCTTGACCTTCTTGCCGAGTCTCCTGTGCCACTGTCTTTACAAGAAGATCGCTCGGAAATACAGTCGGCCTGTTCTGGCAATTCGGTCGCTGGATATTGGGTGGGTTCGCTAGGAACGGCAGACCTTCGCGTGTGGTAGATTATACCTACCCAAACTATGGAAGTCAAAACTGCACAGCAAACCACAGTTATTATGATGATGCCCATCATATTGCTGTTATCTAGAACACCTAAAAAGTATTAAAACATTTACAACTACATTAATATTAATCTGGAGTTAACATTTACTTGGCTTGACGAGAATTCGGCTTCTCGCTATTTCCTGTCCCTGGGAATTATTCAAATGACACTCGTATATTCCAGAGTCGTTATGAACGGAATCGACGATAGTGATTATTTGATTATCTGCTATGATGAAATGCCTTTCTGTAGGTACAATCGGTTCACCATCCTGTTAAATGAAAAACATATAAATTCCAAACATTTTACCTGTCAGGTGAAACGGAAGAGCGTCTCAGAGAACCGACGGCAGTTTTCAGAATACATATAAGTTTTATTTTACCAATTATAGCACTATGTTTAGGGAAGATAAAAAGAAAAAAAAACATGAAGTTTTACTACAAAATTGTATAATGTGGTTAAAATTTCATTTGTAAACACGCAAAGCTAACGGTGTGAAAATAGTATCTTGGGTAGTAATCATTAAATATATAAAAACAATTTAAAAAAATATAGATTATTTGGTAATAATCATTAACTATATAAAAACGATTTTTAAACATACATTATTTTGTGATCACGTACTTTTTTCTAGATAAAAGATTCTTATTTAGATTTTTTAAAGTAGCTTCCTAAAGATGCTGGAATATATCCATATAATTTTTTTAAATTTATTTTTTCAGGACAGACAAAACGATTTTCTTCTACAAACAAGGTTTTACTGAATAGGTTTTGATTGAACAGATAAAACGTTTTTTGTGGAGGAGCTTAAAAAAATATTTATTTACCTTAAACCAAGAAATGGTTGGTTTTGGAACACCATCGGCCATACAACGTAGAACAATATGTTCCCCGGCAGCCAATTCCATGTCTTCGGGACCCCTGACTACATGGGGCTTTTGAAGGACCTAAATTAACCGGAAAAATAATTAAATTGAATAGAGAAAAAAATGTGATTTTTACTTGTAGTTGTGCCTCAGCTGCCGCAGTTCCTGCTGCATTGTGCGCGGTGCACTTGTAGATGCCAGCATCGTTAGGGTTTGCGTTGACAATAAAAAACACATCATCTGCCGGTATGACATGCATTCGGCGTTCGGTGGCAGCTGGGAAATCGTTCCCGCCATCTTTGTGCCATGCAATCTACAACAACAATATATCATACACAAATAACTATCAATAACGTATCATTAAAAAAAATACCTCAGGAGGGGGCTCCCCAGTTGCTGCGCATTCCAATTTTGCAGTCTCTCCAGCTTCAACCTGTACATCTCTTGGTTTTTTCAAGAAGGTAGGGTAAACAAGAACCGATATGATTGATTTCTGGGAATAAGTGGTTCCATAACTGTTACTAACCACACACTGATATCTTCCTGCATGTGAGTTATCCACAAAAAATAAATTCAACTCAGAACTTGTTTCAATAGATCGGCCATCCGGATCTGCCCTAGATATTACTTGGACGTTAGGGTTTATAAGTTCTTCATTATCTTTCCTCCATAAAAATGTCATATTACTGTTGGAGCTTGAGAGAGCTTTACAGTTTAAGGTAACATTTTTACCCTTCAAAGCCATTATTTCAGATGCAGGTTCATCAATGAGGCGTGGTTTGGGAAGCTCATCTAAAAAACTTGATTTGAACACAAAATTTGGGAAAAGTACCTTGAACTTACCACAAGTTAAATTACTAGCTGTGATATTAGAGATGGATTTTCCTCTAAGCCAATCTGGATACGCACAAGAAGCTTGTAGTTTAATATCCTTCAAACTAAGCCATTCCAAGAACCATTTTAAATTGCAGTCACACAATAAGCTACTGGAGTTTATCAACAGTTGCTAAAAAGAGGTATGTGAAACAAACAAGATAAGATATGAGGTGTATTATTACTTTTAGAGAGGGAACTTTATAAAAAGCATTATTTTGAATGGATGTAACATTATTATTAGCTAAATTTATATAGCTAACATTTTTTAATCCAGAGAATGCATTTGAATTTATTGATGTAATATTATTTCCCATCAAGTGAAATTTGACCAAATCACCCAAACCTTGAAACACTCCATTACCATCTTCAATAGTCCAAAATATTTTATTATTATTTAAATACCTACAAAAGCATATAAAACTAATGATTTTAAATGTGAAAATATCCACAAAACTTACAAAACTTTAAGTTTTGTGAGATGAGAAAAAGCTCCATCTTTTATAGTTATAATATTATTATTGTTCAGCGATAGCTTCCTAAGAGTACCGAGATTTTTAAATGTATCTTCTTTAATTGAATCCAAGTTGTTGTATGATAAATCTCTACAAAATAAAATGAATATTTAGCATATTTTTAAGCATGAAAAATATGTATTATTTACAAAACTGTTAAGGCTCTACAAAATTCCCAGGCATCATCATGTATTTGGTTTATAAGGTTGTGACTTAAAGAAAGCTCCTTTAGTGATTCTAAACCATACAACCAGCTTTTTGTGATAACAGTTATATGATTACTGTCCAACATCCTATAAAAAAACAGATTATTTAAAACAATTAAGGTACTATGCAAATTTTCTCTTACAATTTTTCAATTTGGCGTAATCCGTAAAAAGATCCATCCTTAAGTGAACTTATCTGATTTCGTTTCAATTTTAAAGCTTTTAACTGATGAAGATTTTGAAAAGTTAAAGCTTCTATTTCTATCAGTTTATTTCTATTCATTTCTCTAAAAAATTAAATACAACAAACATTAGATATTTTCATCCAGACACTATTGTTAAATCGTATCAAACAATCACATTTGCAACGATATCTCAAGATAAAGTTAGTGTACGTTTATAAATAAAACAGTTATTACTTACAAATGGAGTGCCCATTTAGGGATATTTTGAGGGACGCTGGTTAGCCCCTTCGATGCACAATCAATATAAGTATCTAAACAGCGGCAGCCTTTAGCACATTTTGATTTCGCGTAGCTTAACGAACTAAATAACAAAACCATGTATGAAACCCAAAAACAAACACCCACCATTTTAAAAAAACACACTGTAATAAATCATAGTTCCTTAGGTTTTATTTGAAACACACGCCCAACTTACGACTGTAGTCTATCATATTTTATATTTTATTCAAAAACATACACTCGAAGAATCAAAAAGCTGCATTACTTATCACAAAATAGGCAAAAAACATATAATTTTTAACATATGAATTACATGACGCCTATGCTGATATAACAATAACTTATTATTATTAGGTTGGCTAACCTGCTGCTATAAAAAGCAAACAAATCAAAGGTGGGATCAAGGATATATAGAATATATATCCTTGGGTGGGATTCAGTAATAAATCCAAATAAATCACAACAGTTGGTGACATTGGTAATATGTTGTGGCACCACAGATCACATACAAAGTGGAACAATCAGGCAACCAGTAAATCGTCAAGGAAATTAAGATGCTTATTTTCTTTAATATATGTACATAAATTTTACAATAATGTGTAAAATTATAATGTTTGAAGTATCGCGTACAAAAAGCTTTATGATATCAAATATTATATACATTTGTAACTTTAAACCGGAATATGTAAATAAATGGAGGATAGATTATCCACTATCCACTCCCAAATCCCAAAAAAATTTTATCTGTCAAATGTAACGTAACGATAGATAATTATAATTATTCTGTGGATAGTTCAAGCAGCATGCCATGCAATGACTAAAGAATCCAAGGACAAATAACACCCGACAGCAAATTGTGACGCTGGCATCAAACAGTGCCGTGGCACATATTTTTCTTAACCTAGCTGTTTGAAGCAATATTTATATTTTTTGATAATTGTTTTGACTACGCCTATGGTGTATCATCCTAACTAATTACGAAAAAAACGTACTAAAATGTTAACAAAAGATACAAAACTAGTATCGACGTATAGCACATATCAAGTACATATAGATGTTAATTGAAATTGAAGAATAATTATCGAATTCAATAAGAAAACGCTAAAAAGTTGGAGTGGACTGTTTATTTACCTATGAAACGTAACTCCTGGCTCTTTCTTGTCGCTGTGGCTTTTACACTTGAAAGCTACACAATTCACCATTGTAACAAAGTTTATACAAAGTTCACTACACACAACAAACTATTAAAAATCGCTAAAATTGTCGCTGGTGACTGGATGATGACTCACTGTTTGGCATCAAACGAATGGCGTCTAACGTCACAAATTCTACTACAGCCCGTACAGGGGCGTTACATGTCCTTATATTCTTTAGTCATTGATGCCATGTCATTTTTTTGTTTATGTTAAAAAGTTTGTTCATAATGTTTATTATTACTGCGAAAGGGATTATCAGCTTAAACTCTATAAAGTAAAACTGTTCTACAATCAAGACTAAATAAGTTATTTGCACAGTACCATGAAATTGACCGAACATGGATCCATTATTAAGAATTGCTTCTGTAATGTTATTATTAACTTTAGGATTTTATGGCTGTGTAGGAAACGTAGATATGAAAAATATATCGAACAATTTAAGCCAAGACCTCAATGCCTTAAAAACTGAAGAATTAGGAGTGTCTTTTATTGAGGTAAGAAGTAATTAAAGTTATCTGGGTTTGTATTAATGACTAGGCATTATCTTCTTACAGAAACTATTTAGAAATTTCAAATTGTATGCCAATGACGAAGACTTAATTATCAACACATCAAGAGCAATGGCTCATAAATTAGAGAATAAAATAAACAACATATTTTCTGCAATAAACAATGCAACACTACTTTTAGACAATCTATTGTCGAATCGTCTGGAATCCTTTTCAGTATTGCTGCCTTGTACTTCAGACAAAAATAGTGCATTTGATGTTCTTATTTCTAGTAATTTAATTAATAATCACAGTATAAATGAATATTTTGGATCGAAATACAGTAAGTTGTCTTGATTTAATTGTGTATTAACATTTATATATATTGTCTATTGATTCTTTTAGTTTTATATGAAATGAGAAGGAATATGACATTAATTCCCAATGCCTTAAAGCAGCAATATTTTATGTCAGACAAAGACATAAGGAATATTCAATATTCTCCATTTTCGCAGTGTTCTGATCATGATGAAAATATTGTTTGGAAGAATTATATGTCGCATCAGAAATATCAACGAAAAAATGTTATTTTGGTATTAGATCATGGTGGATCTTTGAGCTACAGACAGTTGCAAATTGCTAAGACAATAGGTACGAACAAATAAAAATAATTATATTTCTCTATATATATTAATAATATATTTTAGCTAAAGCGACATTGAAGTATCTGGAGGAGCACGATAGAGTAGCACTCATTGCCGTAGCATCTGATTGGTCATACACACAGACTGGATGCACAGATGAAAAAGGAATAAAACCAAGCATTTTTTTACAAGATGCCAAAGCAGGATATTTGTCCATGTTGGATTCATTTATCGATTCACTTAACAGGGGCAGTGGTAATACATTTTTTGTTTCTACTCTAAATCTTTTGACAGCGAAAACTTTGACAGATCAATATATTGAATATTTGTTGTTTTCCAGGTGCCACTAATCATGTGATTGGAATGCAAAAGTCGCTAGATGTTATACTAAATACGCAAGATTTTGGTGAACAGGATATGGTGATGGTAACTTATATTAGTCGTGGACTGTTGTCTTCCCTTACTGAAGCACGAAGTGTTCTTAAAATTATTGCACAACAGACTGAAGATATTAAACTTCCTGTCTATATACATACATGTGCTGTTATTGATGGTAAGTTTGACTATATTATAATTAATATGTTATATGTTGAGTTTGAACACACATTTTGAAAAATTATGTAGTATTGTTATGTCAGTATGTAATTACTACAGTTATTTGGATCAAATAGAACTTTTTTTTAAAACCTATGAAATATCTATAATCATGCTTGGGGAATAGAAGAATTAATCAAATATTATTCTTAGGATTAAGTATAAATTACACTAATCATATTTTTTTTGGCTTTTTGTGTTGATATATTAATGTACTAATTACTATTTTATTAGATAATGTAATAATTCAGTTCTGTTTTTTAGAGTCGAAGCCAGTGATGTATGAGACTCACTTTCTGAAGGACATAGCTCATCAGAACTTTTCCAAGTACAATATTACTACATATAATAGATTTCGATATCCTGGTTATATGTTGACAGTAAATAAGACTGATGATATAGGTTTTGTTATTAATAGATTTTTTAGCATTTTTAATACAGGTTTTCTATTTAAAACCGATAAACAAATTTCTTTGCCATATTGGGATCCCCAGAGTAAAGGTAAGAGAGACATTAATTTTAATATAAGTTTGTCTATAATAATATAAGGATATTACATTATCTGGGATATTAAATGAATTGAATTCCAACAATGGCATTTTATTTCAGATTTAACGGTATCTTTTACTAGTGGATGGATGTCAAATAATAATTTTGTCATGTTGGGAACTGATATATTCTTTTCGAATATAGGCGAAGATTTAAGTTACTACAGTAGTAACCAGCAGTATTCTTATGCATTTATGACTGATTTACAAGGTAAAGTGCTTCTTCATCCTTCCATTTCGAGGCCATCTGTCGTAAATTACCAAATTTCATTTATCGACGTTAAGTATCTGGAAACGGTCGACTCTATCAACATTCTACGAAAAAAACTTCTCACAGAACAGGAAGGGACTTTTAGGACTAAAAATAACAACAATGAGACGGTATAAACGAGCTATTTTTTTTTGTATTTTTTTACTTTATCATTTTTCTTCCAGTTACAATATGCTTGGACAAGGGTAGGCCAGTGGTATGTAGTTTGTATTGTGCTAAATGAAAGCCACGAATATTTTAACAAACCTTTCAAAGCATCGCCTAGTGCATCGGTGAAAAAATTATTGTACCAAAATTTAGAGGGATCCGAAAATTACAAGTTCTGCAGGCATTTAAATCAAATAGCCACTTTAGGTATATTAAAACTGAACAAAAATTCCAATTTATTAACGCCTCATTTTTTTCAGATGTAGCATCATTATACTTGAGCAGTTCTTGTTTTCAATCACCTTTTTCCGCTTCCAAAGCAACTCAAGACAAACTAATTGTCCAAGGATACTTAGCTTACCTTAAAGACGACACTAGGTTACTGACAAACCCCGGTTTAAAAGACGCGGTTAGGGACGAAGTGGCCGCGTTGGCGCACGTTTTGGACTTTCTCCGAAAAAGACACCTTTCTTCCGAAATGTCCAAATACATCGTAAGAAGATATGCCTCTTCTTACAGCGGCGTGCTGCAGATGTTTCCCGGGAGCGTTTTGGCCCCAGGCTTGGAAACGACGAAGAGGCCGTGGTTTTTACGGGCGCTACAACATCCGAACAAAATAATCCTTATTCCGCCCTATTTAGACAAGGGGGGCGCAGGTTATATAGTGACAATAGCTTATGCAACCCCGTACGTTGTTAGCGCCATCGACGTTACTCACGGCTATATGTTAAAGATACTTTTGAAACATATGCCGCATTGTTTGAGTGAAAAAGTTACTTGTTTTCTTACAGACGATCAGGGCTATATTATTTATCATCCGAAGCTCATGGATTTCGACGAAAAAAAGCCTATAGAGCAACAACACATCGTTCATCGAGAATCCTTAATTGCCAACGACATACTTAGCCATAAACACTTCATTAGGAAGCTGTTGTGCAATAATTACGCGGATAACACTATACAACGATACTACAGACTGAATACAAGTTATACAGACGTTTTGGCCAACCTCGTTCCCGGTGAACACGGCGTAACATATCGTATAACTTCCGTGCCGGACACGAACATATTTATTGGAGTGGTGAACGCTTCTAGCGACGTAGTAGCTACGTTTTGCCCCTGCAACGTCGTAGATCGTTTGTGCTTTAACTGCAACCGCATGGAAGAGAAGGAATGCGAGTGCCCTTGCGAGTGTTCCTTAGAATCCGAACCGAAATCTTGCCAAGAAAATAACCAGAACCAAACCGATAACGCACCTTGTAAGTGGTACGCGGAAGAAACTCCTTCTGTCGAAGCAAACTTCGCTTCAGACGTCGATAATAAGCTCGAACAGTGTTTCCCGATAAACTGCCAAAACGAACGAACTCAGATGAGTTGTCTGGGCGTCATAGGTTGTGAGTGGTGTAAATATGATATAACTAAAGAGCTTCTTAAGAAACCGTTTTGTTCCTCTTTAATTGCGTGCTTTAACGGTGTTTATGGATCGGCTACTCCTTATAGAGGCCCTAATGATTTGACTGACACTCCGGAATCGGAATTTTCCCCTCTAGGACCTATCCTAGGTCTTATTATTGCTATGTGCATGTTGTTTATTTTACTCTATATTTGTTACCGTTCCTATACGAATCCTTCAGTAGATAGGTTGTATTTGTCTTCGACGCACGATCAGCTCAGAATGAGTGACGTAAACGTCAACGACAACTATCATGATTTGGGTAATCACAGAGACAAACTTCTGAAAGAAGATTGTCCTGCGCCTGACCCCATATCTCCTTATTGTGTGGCTACGAATTACAGAAGGAATAATGCAGCGGCTGATTCGGATCATGGATATTCAACTATGACCCCTCACGATGAATCTGAACATCTCTCTTTAGCTCCTATGGAGGTAGATTCGCTGGAAGATGACGTTCTGTCGGATAGCACGTCTGTCCATACGAGTTTGTCGTTTAAGAACAACCCGTCTCATGTAGTTTCACCTGTATTTACCAAAATACCCTACAGGAACTGTATGGTTGTACCTGTTACTGTACATAGAAACATGGAAACTACTTAGTGTCGCTTCAGTTTTAGATGTATTGTTTGCCTATAGCTTTGTCTAAAATTCACGAGCTTATTTTATATTTCAAAGTTCAAGTTTAAGAAATTTATCTAAGAATATTGGGTTTACTCACATATGAGAAACATGTCACATAGGAAGATTAGATATCTGTGGAACTAAAAAGTAACCCATTCTCCCTTGAACACACGAAAAAAATATAGTACCTGAGAAGTTATTAAAACGAAAATATAATTCTGATGAAACTGCCACTGGGTGTCTCCGAAATATGTGCAAGTATTTTAAGGGGTGGTAGATCTGGTAAAAAGAAACATCTGTTCTATCGTAGAAGGTGGCAAAATTGCATTCTCTACAGACTCCTTAAATACATTTCTGCCGAATTAATAGTGGCACTCAAAAGTTTTTCAACATTTTCCGGAAAATGTCAATAGAAAATTTCAATTTTTTTTTTCACAAAAAAACTTCATGGGCGTTTTGCTGGGGTGGAACGTCGAACTATACTACTAGTTAAAAGTTAAAATACTTGCTTATTTCTAAGACACCCTGTATATATACAGGGATTTTTTCAAATTCTTTTACCAGGACGATCGGTCTTGTTTGTAAACAGAAGCAGAATAAATATTTTCATTAGCGGTATAAATATAAATGTTATATATTTTCTGCTAATCTAATTTAAAACTAAGCTGACTGTATATATGGTGAACCATAAACAATGTTCCACCATTTTTAGCAATAAAATTTTAAAGCATTTATCTGTGAACCTCCTCATTGCCACTTGACATGTATGTAAAACTGTTTATTTAAATATTGTATAGTTTTATTATTAACGCAAATATTGTGACAACGTCTTAATACTAAGCTTTTATGATTATTTATATTGTAGATTTGTCTCACTAATTAAAAAAATAATTTAATTTAAGGTGCTACTTCATTTCATTTCTTTTACTTTACCAAATACAGTATTTTAAAAACGACTTTAAATTGGTTTCTTATGTACCTAATTAATAATATATTTTAGATCAAAACATTTTTAAGTCATTATTTTATAACCATTTAATATCTTTTTCGTTCTGTGTACAATAGCATTTCTTTAAGTATATCAGTACTTAAAGATAATAGGTACACACATAATTTTTCTATTGGTTTAATAATTCTTGGATATTAAATCTAATAGAAAAAAGTAAGTTGATATACTTCTAGGAGAGGCTTTTCCATCTTTACATTTTAATAAAACATCTATTAAAAATGATCGCAGTGTTTTTTATTTAATATGTAACAAAAAAATATTCATTTTACTATTACCACAGCTATGCTATTACAGTGAAGAAAGGTTTTTTAACATAAAACTAGTAACATTTCTTGGGCTTAAATACTGGGTTTATGAAAAGTACAATAGGGTACAATCCTTGGTACAATTAAGCGCAATTACGATCTCGATGAATTGTTTTCATTTTAAATGAATTTTGTTTTTTAAACATTCATATTTATAAACTTTTCTATATTTTTTGACGAAAATTACAATTTTAACCTTTTTTTATCACTTTTAGACATTTACTTAATTAAAAATAAACGATAGCTCTAAACAATAATAATTATTTTATTACACATTACGGGGCTTTCTGTATTCGGAACCTGACAGCAGATATTACAGCAGGAAGGAATGAAGATGGTTTAGAGTCTTGTCCTATAGAGCTAATGCTTTGAGATGTTTTGTTGCATAATAGACATATAAACTATAGAACCCATGACTGAGATTGGCGATGAATGGTTTCTGTAATTTAGTGTCATCCATGTATTATTATTCCAATGAATTTTTATTCAATATTATTTATATAACTGGAAATAGTAACGATAGTTTCCTGGCGCATTCGCCATAACATGAACAAAGATCATAAATATACCTAAATAATGTTTGGTTTTAGAGCTTAAATGGATAAAACATCGGTAATCGCTCAAATGAACCAGGCTGGGCGTCTATTTGGAAAGCATCGAGCAATTAAACGAAATGGACAGAAAAAAACTGCCGAAGAAACACAGACGTTATTTTATACCCATTTAATGTTTCATTTTGTGTACAATAGCATTTCTTTAAGTGTATCAACACTTAAAGATAATACACACCTAAATTTCTTAATGGTTTATTTAAGAATTCTTGGATATTAAATCTAATAGAAATAAGTAAGTTGATATACTTCTCGGAAGCTTTTACCTTTACGTTATAATAAAACATCTATTAAAAATGATCGCAGTGCTTTTTATTTAATATGTAACAAAAAAATTAATCATTTTACTATTACAGTGAAGAAAGGTAACAAAGATTTTTTTAACATAAAGACTAGTAACATTTCTTTGAAAAGGGGCTTAAATACATATCTAAAAAGTACGATAAAGCACAATTACAATCTAGATATATTTTTTTCATTTTAAATGAATTTGTTTTTTTTATACATTCATATTTATAAATTTTTATATATTTTTTTTACAAAATTATAATTTTAAACTTTTTTTCACATTTTAATCACTTTTAGACATTTACATAATTAAAAATAAATGACACAAGTAACTCTAAACAATAATAATTATTTAACTAAAGCTGAAGGTATGTGGTACAAAATAAAAGTAACTTAATATTTCTTTTGAGTTTTGTAAATGTATAAGAGTATGGTCATACTTGCGAGCGATTTATCGCTAGCCATAAATCACACACAAGCCTGGATGTACCCTTAGAGGTAAATTTATTCCTTAATTGTCTGGAAGTTGGAATAATAACCGGGACGTTTGCATGTTTGGATCGTTGACTTAGAAAAATTCCATGTCATCTTCTGGTGGCTTTTTGTGTTTTTCTCACTCTCATACTGTTTCAGCACTTTTGCTATTTGAATATAGCAATTTTTTAATTCAACATTTCTGATCTGGAAAGATAAATAGAAAAGTTAAAACAAAACATTCATACATCATTTTAAAAGACCCTACCTTACACTTAAGCTGAATTTCCCTCACTATAGACAAAAATTGCAAGACTTCCCCTAAGAAGTATAAAGATTTATTTGGTAGACCTTTTGCCATAATCTTCTCAACCTCCATTTGAAAAATTATTAGGGCTAATGCCGAAGACCGGAAATAAGCAGTGCTGCTATCAGACAGAAGAACTTCAAGTAGAATTAGCATGTTTTCTCGAATTTGAAACATATCTCTTGATATAATATGTTCCCATTGATTGGTAAAAAATTTTAAAATCTCTAAGTAGATCTTTAAAAAGTCACTGGGGGTTGTTGCTTTACTTCCTTCAGGATTTTTCGTCTTTTCTTTTACAATGATTGCCATCCGAACCACATCTCTAGAGGTGCATTTACTTTGAGAAATTTTCACAAGATTGTCCACATTAATTTTGCTGTTTTCTGTATCAGCGGCCAGATAGAGACAGCTCAATGTAAGGCATTTTAGAAATTTTTCTTGCACCTAAAATTTACAAAAGAACAAACATGAAGTGATATAAAATATTTATGGAATGCACAAAAAAACATTAAATTTAATCAATACATGATACAAAACTATATGGAATTTAAACAAATTATTAAAAGAGAATTTACCTTCATTCTGGAAAGAAACATATCTAAATAAGATACAGCAGTAAAGAATACATTGTGTGGTAGATCCAACCATATTCGTAAGAAACGTAAATTTTTCACAGCCCCATCCCTTGAAGACAATGTTACTCCTCCAGGTTTATAGTCAGCAGAACTAACTGATGCTAAATTTGGTCTGTAGATGTTTTCTACTTGTAAGGCCTCTTCTAAGTTGAAAGCTAGTGGTTTCAGCAGCATAGCATCCGGAAGAGACCGGCCCCTTCTTTTGTCCATGGTAGCAGAAGTAGTTCTTGGTTTCAAGATCACTAAACAAATTCTACCATTCCACACCGTTTCTTTACTAAGAAAAATCGGTTATGGCAAAAGCAGAGGCAGGTCTATTACCTACAATGAGAGAAAAATAACAAGCTAAAACTTGTAGGAATACAAAATTCTAGACAAAGGCAAAGTCTTGTCCTTGAATATATTAAATACCCTAATAGTACACGAATGGTACTTACCCGGATGCTCTGAGAAAGGAGTAGTATCCCTTAGGATGTACCTTAGAAGGGAATTACTTTTAATTCACCAAAAATAGGATCAATTAAAATATTCAATGACAAATGACAACAAAAAAGTAATACGACATAAATTGCTCACAGAGTACATCCATTTTCTACGCAAGCGCATGGTGGTACTTGCCGGTTGTCCTTGTTGCATTCATACATATTTACATTTGTTCTCTTGCTTTCTGATTAGATATGGATATTTTAAACTTTCCAAAAATTAATAACTTATTTGTGAACTTATTCAAATTTGTCCGCCTCTCTTTGTTAAAAATGAAAATAAAAACTTGGTCTTCTTTTTACCATTGGGTCACAGATTGGGTAATGCAACGTACGCTGACATTGACCTATATTTAAAAAGTAAAGCTGATACAAATAATAATTAATTTGTATCTTTCTGCGGTGTAATATCATTTTTTCTATATATAAAAGATAGTCTCGATTAGTATATAATAATAATCTTCAATATCACAGATTTCTGCAGGATTAATTAATTGATTCAAAAAAATCATGGGGCCATTCAATTTCATAAGTATATTAAGTTGCCTATATGTCTAATTACTTTTTATAATACAATTGTACATGAGATTCACATAGATGTCACTAAGTTCCGTAGTTCCGTATTTATTTGAAAATACAGGACTTATTAATAAAAGCAACCTTTTTAAAAAATGTTTTATTATAACAATAAAAAAATAATTAATTAAAAAACTGGGAGTAAAAACATCGGTGTACATATACAAAAAGACAAGAATTATAAAAATGTGTAGAAAAAAAATAATACTTTTAGATATATCTTCAGGTGGTAATTATACATAGAGTGAACATAAAACGATATACACATGGCTAAGTTGTTTTTTATAAATATACACGTACATAAACATTTATATAAATATGTCTACATTTCTAAGATAAATTATTTATAAACAATAAGTTATCAACTAAAATATATCACAGTAACTATTCGAGTTTTTATTACATAATCCGTTTTTTGACCACCCTGTTGTAAATCTTATTATTAAATAAATAAAATAACATCTATTAACTAAATTCGTAACTAAAAATAAGCTTTTAGTCGTTTAGAAAAATAATTTTGCAACATTCTTCCTACAATTAAAACAATTAGTTTAATTTATTTACACTTTAGAACTTAATAAATAAATAATATACATATTTCCTAACATACTAATGGTGTATTTTAAATAATAGCGATAGACCTCTTGCAATATTAACATTAAATGACAAAGACAAACAGAAAATACTTGATATTTAAATTTACATTCTTGATATGCTCAATTCATATAGTAAATCACGATATTATAGAAGGGTTAGTATTGCAAGGGACCCTTTTTAAGTACAAGGAATAATTTGACTCGTTATGCGGCACTTTCAAAAAATAAACAATATAAATATTATTTTTATATTATTGGATGTAACATTTAATGTTGAGGGTTATATTTAATATAAATAAATGTATTTTAGAACCACCAAACACTATGTTGTGTATTTTAATTTATTCTATATACCGTATGATCGAAAAAAAACGGCGTCCAGTTGGCTTGGAAATGACGATCGATGACATTTCCCATATAATTTCACATATAAAATGACATCGATCTTCATTTCATAGCCATCGCTGACGCCGTTTTTATTCAATCATACGGTACTATCGCGAAAAAAAAATAATATTTTTTTACGACTACATAATAGTATCGATAAAGTGAGTACCTATGCAAACCTAAAATTCTACTGGGCAAGTAAAAATGGCATTTGCGAGTTTATCAAAATTATTTATATTAATATGATTCACGTATTACACTAGAACACTAACAATTGTTATCTGTTAATTATTATTTCTAATACTGGTCAAATATTTAATAAATTAATTCGTGTTAAGGCGGACTCTGACGACTCGTGTACTTGGCAAACTTTTTGATTGACATACAGTGTCTGGCGAAAGTGCGGCGTAGCTCCTAAATGAATATAACTTAGAAATTCTGTATAAATGTCCGACGTACCCTGTATAACATGCATACCAATAACAAATGTTTGTTAAGTACACGAGTCGTATGAGCGCGCCATTAGACTAGAACACTATAAATGAAATCTTCGTAAATATTTTTATTATTATTTGCATACCAGAAGTTACTTATATGTATACAGTATATATATAGCACCCAAACTAAATAACCTGTCCACAAATTATTTTTAAAAATAGTATAACGAAAAGTGTGGATTTTATTTGAAAATTTTTATTAATAGCTGAGATATTCGCTCTTTTGTTCGTCTGAGTAATCAGTCATTCAGTGAAAAACATATAAACAAAATGTTAGGTCAAAATTCCTTTAGACAATAAATTAGAAATGTTTATTTATAGGTGTCTTCGGTTATTTCAATCATTTTATCGTCAATTACGTATTAGAGAAAAAGGGAGGATATTTCAATAAAGACCCTGTGTGATGTAACTGTGGCTAAATCTGTGCAATTTTTGAAGGAAACAGAGTTTAAATTAAAGGAAAATAAACTATTATTAAATTTGTATACTCAAATTTTTTCTAATGCAAATAAATACTTCTTGAAGATTATTCAAGAAGACAAAAAGAATTATAGATTTCCCTTTTAATGTTCCAATCCAGTGTTAACTTTGTAAACTAGTCTGCTAATTATTTACTTCAACATTCCACAAAAATTCAGTATACTATATGCATACACTTACTGAATTTATTTGTATTTGTGGTTTCTTGGCAGGAATCATATACATAGACTTCGCTTATAATTGGATTAACTCAATCTCGAGTGATATTTTATAAAAAGAAAATATAAGTTTTATTCTCTATATTCAGCTCGGCTATGCTTTGTTTATGTAAAGTTTATGCCAAATATCCAAGAATAATTTAAAATTGATGACAATTTTTTAATGAATTTACAATTAAAATAGATTTGATGATATAACAAGCAGCCTAATCTTAAGCCCAACACCGTTTGTTTTCCTTGTCTCAAATATCTTAAGTAAATGTGGAGTCTAAATTAAAAAAGAGAGAACAAAAATAATAAATAAAATAAAAAAAAATAAAGAAGAAATGCTCAGTGACGACCCGTATATAAAAATAACACCTACAACATGTCTTTGGCTAGAAAACTTATCTATTTTAGGAACACGCACATTCTACGACTTGCATTTTCTCCCATGTCTGTACGGTCAGTTTCATGGGATTATCTTTGTTAACCATAACTATTTGCAAGTCGGCCAACTTCGACGGTGCACAACACGTTTTTGGTATAGTGTTTTTTTTGTTATCCACCTTGACCTGGTTCTTCTTGATTTGGTGCATCATGCCTTGGATTCTCGAGTGGTTCGTAGCGAAATTGTTGGACTGCGCGGGACACAAACCCTGGCAGAAACCTGCCTCGTACGATTTTGGCTCGACGATGTTCTCCAGCTGTGGAAAGGGCAGGTCTTTGAAAGTCACGTTCATCTCGTGCCTGCAGCACTTGTTCTTCTTTCCTTTTCTGTGCCTGGTACTACAGTCCGATATCCTTTTCACGGAATTCTCCAAAGACCTCTTGGCTCTCTTCTGCGCGGTGTGGATCATCGCGGTGATAGCTGCCTGCTGAGGATTCAGGTTGTTTCGGCATCCCAAACACACTAATTCTAAACCTAGGTTCCTTTGACCGTTTATCCATGAATGGACAGCTGGTGTTACGTCGAAATCGCACCATTTGGGCGAGCGGGAAGACAAATACAGTTCTTTGTCTTGCAGGAATCGTCTCCTGCGGGTTCCGAGGATTTGGTTCAATCGCACTGTGATCGTTGACGAGTCGTTCTGTTGTGGAGGAAGCAGCAGACGCACAGAAGCACTTTCTACTTGTTCAGTCGATATACTTATGGGAAATACCATCTTTAGTGGATGCTTTGATGTATCTTGTTGGCGTAAATTATCTGAAACAAAAAAAGATATTTAGTACACAGAAAATAATAATCGACTTTTGTTTAAGTGGCCCACTCACACTTTTGATCAATCAAACTCTCTTAAGAGGTACGATTTTTATGCATTGTTAATGTTGTTTGCAAAAATTCCTTATAACAGGATGTGCTATATGTGTTCGGGACCTGACGCAGATATTTGGAAGAAAGCAGGAACGAACAAAAATGGTTTAGAATCTAATTTGTCCCGCAGAGCTAATGCTTTGAGATGTTTTATTAAATAACAAAGAACATAGAAATTATAGAAGCCGTGACTGAAACTAGCCATGAAAAGTTTAATTTTTTTAACAGAGAATTAATTTGAATAACAGAGAATATGAACAAAACGATAAATAGTTTCTTGGCGCATTCGCCACATCCTGAACAAAGATTGTAAAAGTACTTAAATATTGTTGATTTGTTTTTAGAGCTTACATGGATAAAACATCGGTTTTAGAATCGGAATTTGGGATACAAAATGTCGGACATCAGGGGTGACGGGAGTGAGAGAGAAATTTGGTAATTTAATAACAAAATTATGATACTGGCCTTTTCAGGGCTTTTGTTCAGCAGTGGATGGAATAAGCTAGATGATGATGATGAATTATTGAAAATACTTCAATACTGACTAGTTTATTTGGAGTCTCAGAGGATCAATCACTTTTATCAAGAATAAAAATTTCTGTTAATACATATTTTCTTTTTCTAGAGCGTGTTCAAGAATATTGTACACATTTAGAAGATAGAGATAAGTATTTTAATTGTGTTTAAGGAAAAAACTATATATAAAAGTTTCGTAAACAGTAACGATATGTTAAATAAAACTAAAATCGGAATGAACTCTGAAAACTTGAAAAGAATGTATTTAGATGAAAAGGAAATACTGCCATCACAGGAATTGAAGTATCTGGGAATAATCCTAGACAGTAAACTTCTCTGGAACAGGCATATTATGAACATTATCAGCAAAGCCACAAAGACTATCATGATATGCAGAAGACTGGCGGAAAATAGATGGTTTAACATGGTTTAATGGTTTTTAACATTTTGCCCTTTTGTGAAGGTCATCCTAGACCTAACACCACCGCACGTTATCTTTGGTAGTTATGCCAATGCGACAATGATTAGAATGGTCATTAAGGGAAACAGTACTGGGAGAATTTTCAGGTCAGGGGCTTGGAACACCTTCAGAAAGAAAATTCCACTTCTCCAATTCCCAGTGGATGACATACCAAGAATTTACAACTTTGAGAAACAACTCACTGTAGTATTGAGTAATAAAAAGGATTGGAAGGAAGAAACGTTTGCTCAGCATGTAGACCATAACGTGGTATACTGATGCTTTCAAAACCAAAGCAGACTTTACAGGTCGTAGTGTTTCAGGCATATTGAAAAAAAAATAGTTAGATAGGAGTGAATTTCAGATGACGACTACAGCTCTTCTAGTCCGATATTGAAAGACCTTCAAAGAAAAAATATAATAGTAAAAATTTTCTAGCATATGCCATTTATCTACTTTCCACATAAAGAAAGATGTATCTATATTCTATAATTTTTAGAGACGGTTGTTTTATTAATACTAGAACAACTGTAATATTCGTCCTCTATTTATAAACAGCCCACCTAAAATACTGCAGTTTTGTATTTAAAGAAAATATCAACTACATAATGATAGAAATTTCTATTTTTGTTTATTCGATTTGGCTTGATTATATGGACTGTCTCGCGAATTCTAGGCATTAATCATCGAACCATAATGAAAGGATTCTAAAGAGCATCTTTTTGAAAACTAGTAAAACAATAAATGAATGTCTGAAAAATACAAAAAGTCATGTAAACAAATGGAAACTTCCAATTAATGTTTTATCCAATTTATGTTCTTTCGGAAATACGACATTAAACCAAAAAGCGAAAATTGTGTAACGTATCCAAAACAGGGCTGCACATTGACGTTATAGTAAAAATAGCCACAGATACTTTTAAGTGCACGACTTTTACTTGGAGGTATTTTATAGGTAGATCTATAAATAAATATTTTATGTTAAATAACAAGAAACTTTTCGGTTAATATTTGATTATTAATCGAGGCAGGCTCTAAAACTCAACTATATAAAAAATTAAATATCTGGACGTCTGGATTTTTATTTACCTGCTTTCGTAGATAGGTGTGTGCTTATTTTTTTAGAAAACGAAAATTCGTAAATGTTTGGAGAGAATATCGTAAAACCAGTTTTATATCACTTTTACACTTAAATTTTGCTAAAATATCTGAAGAGTTTATGGAAAAATGCATCTTAACATAAACGACGTGAAATAAAAGTAGTAAAACACTTTAACAAAGTTCCCGTGCTTGTTTTTATAATCAGCTTTACGGCGCACTGCGTTTCACCTTATTTTTTTAATATAACAAAATACTTAATAGGTACGCGTTTTGTAATAACTTTGTGCTAATCAAGATATCAAGTATCTATAATGTCACGAAGGATTTGCTCCAGAGGCAGCAAAAGCCAAAGCAATCCTCGAAAAAGGGGAGAGTAAAGAAGTAGAATTGACAGTGGCCGGGACTGGTCTTTCTACCTAGGAGCAAAGGGAAAGACACCACCTACCTGCTGAGCCTTATCCAAGCTCAGAACTTTAATGTAAGGAGATCGAGTTAGTGAGTCATTAACTCGAGTGAAGAGGGCCATGGTCAGGTCTTCACAATAGGAATTGACCTCAAATCCAAGGAGGCAATAGAGAAAGAGAGATATATCCTTCGGGACAACAGCGGTATCAGGTCTAAGGAGAGACCAAGTTATAGAAGTAGAGAAAATGAAGAACAGATCCTCGAGCTTCCACCTCACGAGTACCTCAGCTGGAGACAAGAACCTTGACTGTGATGGGTACGGAAAGCCAAACCCCAACCGTGGAAGAGTGTATACCCCGATAGGAGGTAGATGTCCACTCCTCGGAGGAGGAACGACCCAACCAACCTGTCCCCCTACAACAGGAAAATCCCTATGCATGATGAGTTCTGTATTATGAATTATAACTCAAGGAAGGGGGATACAATACCCTCTCTCACTCACTCTACATTCTACATCTATAATGTATTTTATTTAATATCGCTAGAAATCATCTGAAGACGAAGTCCACACTGTATACTAAAGAAATAGTTATGGTGGCGCTTTAAATGTTACGGATACCTCGTGGCTTAGATAAACTGCGCTAAAAAAACAACCTGTCCATCTGTTGCCAGTGATATCTGAACGTTTGACTGTAAAGAAATTTTCGGAAATCCAATAAATGACACATTATTCACGTAAAAAATATGCGAGTGATGATGACTGCGAATAAAACATTTGGCGTATTAGCATAGCTCGACGAGGTGGTTTTGTGTATTTTCCATTCATCGGAATTCGACATCAAATTATAAAAATTATGTATCAGTCTAAATCCATTCCGCTTCGCAAAATGCGTTGGCGTCCCGAACGCGATGGAGTGCCTATTTTTATTTCGCCAACTTATTTTTAGATTACAACGATTATGTTTGGGGACACACTACACGAAACACGTATTTTTGTCCAAACCAAATATCCCTGTTACGGCACTTTGTGCCTTCTTGGACATTGCAGAGGCGTTTGACAATATACCTCACAAGGTGGTCAAGCGATCTCTTGAAACAAGAGGGGTGAACAGTACGATAATTCGCTGGTTTTGGGAAATGCTCTCAACACAAACAGCAGAGGCTGAGATAGGTACCATAACTGTAGTTGTTAAAACAACGCAAGGAACTCCACAAGGTGGAGTGACCTCCCCCCTACTGTGGAGCTTGGTAGTGGATGAACTACTGGAAGAATTAACTCTAGCGGGAATACACTGCATAGGGTAGGCAGATGACATAGTCAACATTACACGGGGGAAACATGAAGGCACCCTGTGTGATATTATCCAAAAAGGACTCCGCATCGCTGAGAGATGGTGCAGGACTGTCGGGCTGAGTATTAACTCAGATAAAACCGCAGTAGTGCCATTCACCAGAAAGCGAAGTTTGAAAAACTTGAAAAGAATCCATCTAGATGGAAAGGAAATACTGCCATCACAGGAAGTGAAATATCTGGGAATAACCCTGGATAGTAAACTTCTCTGGAACTGGCATATTAAGAACATTACCAGGAAACATCCAGCGCAAAATGTTAGGGGCTGCGCCCCTAACATTTTGCGCTGGATGTATACCATGATAGTAAGACCTATGATTACTTATGGAGCAGTTGCTTGGTATACAAAACTACAGCAAGGCAAAACCTGTGCAAAGTACAGAGACTGGCATGTATCTGCATCACAGGTGCCATGAGAACATGTCCAACAGCAGCAATGGAGGTCATTCTAGACCTAACACCACTGCACATTGTCGTCGGTAGCTATGCCAATGCGACAATGATTAGAATGGTCATTGACGGAAACAGTACTGGGAGCATTTTCAGAATTTCATTCAGAAAATTCCACTTCTCCAACTCCCAGTGGATGACATACGAAGAGTTTACAACTTTGAGAAACACCTCACTGTAGTATTGAGTAATAAAAAGGATTGGAAGAAAGAAACACTTACTCAGCATATAAAAGACCATACCATCACGTGGTATACTGATGCTTCCAAAACCAAAGCAGGGACAGGGATAGGAGTATTTGGGCCGAAAACTAAATACTCCCAACCAATGGGCACCTACCCCAGTATCCTTCAGGGAGAAATTTGCGCTATCGAAAGATGCGTACAATTTATCTTAGATAGGAACTATCGAAAACAGGAAATTGCCATCCTATCCGATAGTCAAGCATCACTTAACGCGATCAACTCAGTAACCATCAATTCGAAGTTGGTCAAAGAATGCCTAGAGAAGCTCAACAAATTAGGCAAAGAAAATAAAGTCCTCCTACTCTGGGTGCCTGCGCACCAAGGGATAGAAGGCAATGAAAAAGCAAATGATCTAGCTAGAAAA